CCTTGGGTTTTGGGCCAGTGAGTTTCACATCCGGTGACGGCGGCGTTGTATTTGCGGGAGTGGTGCATCCCGTTCTTCAAGCAGACAAGTCTATACAGGAATGCCTGCGAATGATCAACTATCTGGAGGATGTGGATAGCTCCCTGGCCCAGGATCGTGCCTGGCTGGCGGCGCGTCTCTCTGGAGGCAATGCACCCCCTCCTGATGGCATTGCGGACGTGGCGGACCAAGCAAACCAGCTCGTAGCGGCAGTGCACGCCGAAACTCCATGGCATCGCGTGATTCACGCGTACCTCCTCCACAAGTGTGAATGCTTGCCCGGCGCAATCTCGTCCACCAAGAACAAACGCACGAAGCTCTTCAATTTCACCGAGGCCGTGGACAGCGCCACCTCGATTCTCTTCAAGCAGGTGGACGCAGCCTGCTTCCATAAGCTCCTTGTTGACTGGCCACGTTTGGTGGCGGCCATGCAGCGGGAGGGCGGAGACGAGGTCTTTGGCAACTGGGAGACTTGGGGCAATGCCTTCGACATTCTGCACAAACAGGAACGGTGGGATGGGGCGGCCTTCGACATGCACAAGAGCGCTATCTGCGCTCACAGCAACGGGGCGCCAGACATCGCATCCATGAGCTATATCGTGTCGTTTGCACGCTGACTGAGACGGTGGACTTGGATGCGCTCATGCGTTATGCCGGCACCTGCACCGACCGACGTCCCGAACTACTGGCCCGCTATGCGCAGAGACATGTTGAGCAGGGAGTTCGCGAAGGGTTCGACGATCAATGTGGAGTACTATCGCAAGCCACCTTATGCTCGGCCCCTTGCTCGCGGTCCTGCGGGTCAGAAGTTGACTCGTGAGGCTCGCAGTATTGCTTTTGGTTCGCACTGTGCCGAAATCGATGCGGAGTGCTGCCATCCCAGACTATTACAAAAGAAGCTGATGGACCTCAATCTCTGGACGGATGAAAAATTCCCGATGCTCGACAGGTTTGTGAAGCACTTCAGGCATTGGCGTGCTGGGCTGGCCATGTATCAGGACTATACTCTATCCAAGACGCCAAAATCGAACTCATCAGGATGTTCTACGGCGGCAAACCGACGATAGAGGCCCCCTTCCTGCTCAGGCTCGGAGACGAGGTGCAGGAGGCTGCCAGATCCCCACTTCGTCACTCCTGTGCCGCCGACCTCGTGAACATGTACACCGACAGACGGAATCCGGAGTTCAGTAGGTTGTCAGCGCTCCTGTCAAAGGACGAGGCGGCCATGCTGGACAAAGCACGCTTGGTGACGGCGGAGTACATGCAGGTCTTGGTCTTTGACGGTGGCCTTGTTCGCGACGACAGTGGCCATTCTGAAAGCTGTGGCCAGCAGTCATCAGCACGGTGTGCCCTTGTCGGTGAAGGCCTGGTCACGGGACCCTACAACAGTCGCACAAGTCCAGCGTTACGGGAACTGCCTCCTCAACGCCATCGCTACTGTGAACTCCGACTGTGCCTTATCTAGTTGGGAACCGGACCTGGGCTCACCCGCCTTTGATCTTTCCGCGGCGGAGTTCAACACGAGCATGGTCCATGACTCTCAGCGGGAACCTGACACAACGTATCGTTTGATCCACGAGAACATCGCCGACTTGCAGTTCTACACGAAGGAATCGGGACAATGGATCTGTCGTCAGCGGTTATCGGAGACGGGTGGCCATTGGTGTGCAGTGTGTTTTACGAGCGACTGGGAAGTGCTCATCTTGGATCCCGCTGCAGGTTCAGTCATGCTCAGCATCCAGCTGGACAGGCTCTCCACAGTTCTGCCCGACATGGTCTCGCTTCTCACGTGGTTTCGTCTTTTGAAGGTTCAGCATGAGGAGAACCTTCAGATGGATGGTCCATATGCCCTACGAGGCGCAGGCCCCTCCAAGCCATCCTGCTCAGCCTCCTCTTCGAAGCTTATGGATTATGGAGATCGTCACCCCGTTGACTTCCTGCGTGGAGTGCCCCTGTCGCCGGCACACATAGTCCCAGGACGGTTGTACGGCCTCACGGGGGTGCAAGCCATTCACATGGTGACGAAGCGCTGTACAAAGAAGACATGCAGAGCGCACCATCATTATAACTATCGCAAGGTGGAAGGAGAGAAGTTTCACAGCTTGCCTCTGGAGGACATGCAGTATGTCTTTGTGAATAGCAAACTGGGTTTCAGCAGGGACTTCCTCGCCCTGCAGAAATGCGTGGGTCGACTATCACAACGCTCTGCAATTCCGTGGCGGCATTAACCATAATGCCATTGAATTTGCTCAGGCGGAGGTCCTCTGGGAAGATTCACATCAACACTTCCGATGGCATCGAGAATACTCCGCCGCCCAGCTCTACTATCTCGTCCTGCCAGAAGGGTCAGAGATGTGGGCCTCCTCCAAGCCCGCAGACCGCAGTAGGCTCCTCTCATCAAGGTCGAGGATCCGCTCCGTGCCGACTTCCTGAAGATCTACTCGACCTGGTGGCATCAGAAGCAGATTACGCTTGGCGAGTGGCGTCAGGTCAAAGAGGTTGTGATTGACGGGCATGAAAAGGTTGCTGCCAAGTGTCACAACGCACTCCTAGCACATGCAGGGCGACCACGCAAAAACAACCAGACGAAGCACCGTCAGAACGGCTGGTTTATGGCGGTGGACCCAGCAAGTGGATTGGTCTTGGCCGTGACCAACATGAAGGACCCGGAGAACGTCCCGGTTGCCAAGCAGGTTCTCAAACAGGTGCTCAATCGAGGAACTGCTGTCGACTGTGTCATCTACGACAAGATGTGCATCTGCATGAAATCCATTGCGAAAGACAAGGACTTCGCGCAGATCAAATACTGGTGCTTCGACCGGTTCCATGCCAAAGGTGATTCGTCCAGCTGTCCTTGTAGCCCACTGAACCACTCGCGTCTGGACCGTCGGCTTCGTGACGTCAACTCCTCCATCGCGGAACAGACCTTCCGTGGGTATGCTGCATCGTTCAACTCCAAGTCGCCAGATACCACATCTTCTACGTACTCCTCTACGTGAAGAAGCACAACACGCTCATCCGAAAGGACTACATGCAGCACCTGAACGCATTCAGCGCGCGAGCCAAAGTCGGGAAAGCAGCTCGTATCCTCAGAAGGCCATCATGCAAGAAGTACGTCTGTCGCCGTCCATCCTCCTCCAGCACGTCAACGAAGAAGAGACCTGCGCGAATTGTTCGTAAAGTTCTCCCCAAGAAGAAGTAGACGGGCATGATCAATCATCGTGTGTGCCACTCGTGACAGGTAGTCGAAACTCGACAGTAAACGCACCATCCAGTTTTGATCTTGCAGGCACACGTCCCGATGTCTACTTGAATGATTGTTCCAACTACTGGATCTAGAGCAAGAAATCTTAACATAACAGATCTCATGTCATAAGAAAGATACCAGGAATGCCAGAGAGTACATCAAGTGTGTGCTCGCAGAGGATAATCATTCAGCATGATCGCGGCACCAGTTTTGATCAGACAAGCTATGTGAACATGATTGAAGGGTGCTGTGTTCCACCTACACATTGAAATGCAGAATCACATGTATGCTCGCTTAGGTCACGAGCTCAGATTTCCGCGTGTGCGGACGTCAGCCTCTAGCATAGCGTCGGAAATCAGGTCTGTGTGTGTAATCTTATATTTTTATAAGTAAAAACCCCACAAAACGCGTATTTTCATCGAATAGCACAAGCCTGCATTCCGACGCACTCTCTCTCTCTCTCTCTATATATATATATATATGTGTGTGTGTGTGTCTACATGTATTCCATATATTATATTGACATCCTACAAGCCCAATGGAGCCGCGACAGCCCTCAACCCAACGGCAGCAGAGTCTACGCAAGCCTCATCCAGGCCTGTTAAAACCCTGTTTAGCCCTGTGAGGCAGAAGGAGACCCTCCAAACACTTCACCATGCAACTCCAAAGCAAAGCATCACACTTTTTGTACACACTATCAGACATGAGAATCTGAAACCAACTCACTTGACACAGGCTTGGTTCTCACCTAATCTCTACACCCCCAAACCCTATACCTCCTATACCTCAATCCCAAAACCCCTTAGAAGAAAGCAGGAGGCAGGCCCGGATCCCCCGAAACCCGCGACATCTTCCCAAGCCAAGGCTATCGGACCGAATCCTGTCTGCCTCGGCGCATTTTTGGGGGGCTCCAAGGGTTTGTTTGGGGTTTGAGGGTTGCAGGGGTTTAGGGATTTAGGGGTTTACGGTTTAGGGTTCAGGGTTTAGGGCTGTAGGGCTGTAAGGTTTGGGGCTTTAGGGTTTAGGGCTGCAGGGCTGTAAGGTTTAGGGTTTGGTGTTTGTGTAGGATTTCGAAGAGTCTTGAAGGTTCCGGTGCAGGATTATTCGCTCTATATAGTGCGATAGACTCTGTAGGGTTTCAGGGTTAGGGGATAGTGATTCCGCACAGTCATACAGTCACATTGTCATTGCTTCGAATTGGCGGAAAGGCAAGCGAGTGGTGTGGTGAGCGGGCTCCATTCTCTCGGGTTGCAGGATTAGGGTTCGCTTGTTCAGCTTACTGTTACTCCCTCAGCCCTAATAGCCCTAATCCCGAAGCCCAAAGCCCTGAAACCCATAAGCCCTAAACCCTGCATGAAACCTACTGGCTTCTGGCAGCTGCAGTTGTGCCAGGGTGCGCCTTGATGCTTTCCAGCCGGTCAACCTCTCCATGACGCTGTGGGCTTTTGCCAGGCGCGTTTTTTGTTGGGCTCAGCGTGGAATAGTGTTTAGTGCTTTCGGTTTAGGGTGTAGTACTGTGGGGCTTGGAGCTTCAACGCTCCCGAACCCTAGACTCTGATCCTGAAACTCTCAAGATAGGAAGGCTACTCCAGCTTCAGGGAGCCGGCTTTTTTCGGATAAGGTGTATGTGTGTGTGTGTATGTATGTATGTCAATGTATGTATGTATGTATGTATGTATGTACGTATGTATGTACGTATGTATGTATGTATGTTATGTATGTATGTATGTATGTATGTATGTATGTATGTATGTATGTATGTATATATATAGATAGGGATATCATAGTACGACCCTGCAAAATAGCCGTTTCTCAGGTTGAGTTTACTGGGTTTCTGTACGGGTCGGTCTGTACAGACACGCGTTTGTGGTTCGATAAACCCTACCTTGAACCACCACAGCCCGGATCTTCTTTTGGTATGGTCCCTATATATATACACTGCTGTTAATCAGCACCTACAAAAGAGTAGGTTGTGGTAGCCTGAGGTCACCATCAAATCCGATAAAAGCTCAAAGCTGAACCCTGGCCCGTGGTTTATAGTGTCGGGGTGTTCTGGGCTCCGGACATGCACGCCATGCGCGACACTACCGAGCTTCGACAGCAACCTTAAACCCTAAACGCCTAAACCCTAAACCAGATGACTTATGATTGAGAACAGAACGAGCTGAAACTGACAAAGAAACACAGCTGAGGTTGCCAAACCTCTAAAACCCTCTACCTGTGGCCCAAAAAACCTACCTTCTTAAGGAATTTTGTATATATATATATATATGTATATATATATATATATATATATATGTACTATGTAGAGAGAGAGGGAGCAGAATTCGTAATCCTGAAAGTGTGTTTTTCGGCCACACGTAATTCTGGAACTATACATCCTAAGCCCAGCACGCAGACGACTTTCCACCACCCCAATCCCACACACGAAGCCGTGCAAACCCCAAACCTTCAACTCCGAACCCTGAAATTTCTAGAGCTCAACCTCCCCCAAAATCCCGACACGCCTGACATCGAGGTCGGAAGACTTGAACTGATGATCCCCCCTGCAGGGCTTCCCTGATTTCAGTATTTTATATGCCAGAACCCTGTTTTCAATCACCGAAGGCCCCAACCCTTCCAGTAGCCCCTATAGAACCCTCAAAAGAACCCAACTCTGGTTATTCAGGCCCCTATTCTAGCAATCGGGCACCGTGTCGAAGCCCCCTAATTCCCCCTGCCCTCCAAACTGTCTTGAATCCCGAAACCCTTAAACTAAACCCAATAAACCAGGCTAAACGCTACCTGGACCCCAAAGCATGTAGCTACTCTTGGGGGTTTAGGTACACCCTAAACCTTGAAGCGGCCCTCAATCGCTCTTTAAATCCGAAACCCTAAACCCCAGACCCTGATCAGCCCTTCGTTGAACTGCCGGGCCGTGTCTGCTCGGCAATATTAGTGAGACCCCTTGAAGGGGAGCCTTCTTGACACTACTTCTGGCGCTCTTGCAAGGGACCTAATTGAGAGGGTCTAGATCGGCCAGGCTCCAAATCCCAAATCCTCTCACAGGTCGGGCCTCTCCGACGAGCGATTGCTGCGAGCAGCGGCTCAGGAGGTCTTGGGAAACTCGCGGGGGGTTTGGGGTTAGGGGTTCAGGGTTGAGGGTTTATCGGGTTTAAGTTTAGGGGTTTAGGGGTTGTGGGCTAGGGTTGCAGTGAACCCCAGATAGTTGGAAGATGGGTTTAGGAGGGTTGGTGCTAGGATCCCTCGTGCTTTGCTTTAAGGGCATGAGGATATTGATGTTCCAACTTTCTGGCTTCTACTATAGGGGTTAGGGGTTTAGGGTTTAAAAGGGCAGTTTAGGGGTTTAGGGTTTAGGGGTTTAGGGTTTACGGGTTTAGGGGTTTAGGGTTTAGGGGTTTAGGGTTTAGGGATTCAGGTTTTGCGGGTTTGGGGTTTGGGGGTGTTGGGGTTTAGGGGTTTAGGGTTGATTCATGGGGCTGTTAGGATTAAGCCCTGAGATGCGGGACTTTTGTTTTCGATTGACGCATTTCTTACAACCGCGTCCTAGCCTAAACCCGAAACCCTAAACCTACTTGGAGTCCAGGTCTTGCGGGCATGTGGGTTGATTTATGGAGTTGCTACAAAGGTTTAACAGGGCCCATTGAGTTTTGTACAGGGGTTCGGGTCTAGGGTTTTTGGGCTTAGGTTAGGAGGTTTAAGGTTTAGGTTCTAGGGTAGGGTTTACGGTTGAAGGGACCTGACTTGCCAGGTTTGGGGGTTTACGCATTTGTACATAGGGTTTGGGAGTTTAGAGCTTCGGCTTCATATGAGTGTTTGGTTATATGAAAGATTTTGGGATGTGAGATATGGGTTGACTTGAGATATGGGTTGAGGATTTAAGACATGTCTCCGGGATTCACGAGGTCAAGTTCCCCCGGTCCGGGCTTCGTGCGGGAGTTAAGGGCGATGGGTGTGCAGCAAGATACGCCCCGAAAGCCTATGATGAAGGCCCAATGAAGGCGCCTCCATAATGCCACAAGGTTCAATTTTCGAGATCAGGGATGATGGGTGTAGGGCAGAGGGTTAGCGTGGATGAGGGAAGAGTGCTCGGGGAAATAATTAGCGGGGTGCTGGGTTCAGGGATAAGAGAGAAGGTGCAGTAGTAGGGCTCACGGCACAGGACGCTGAAAGTGCACTGGTTTTGCGTGGGCGGGGTTCAAGGAAAGTTCAGGCAGCGTGATTTACAGTGGGCAATAGGATGAGGCGTTGAGGTTGCGGGAATTAAATTAGAGGAAGGGGTTTGAAGATTCGGTTTTCTGGGGCGAGGGAATAGGGTGCAGATTCAGAACATCGATTCAAACGATCAGGGTTTTGGGTGGCTGCCTTCAAGCCCTCTTCTAATCATTAAAAACCTTTCAGCACACAGCATCTTGGCAGAGTGCAGATTTACGGCTGTGAGAGGAAAAGGCTGCTAGCCTAGTGCCCGGGATACTATAAAAAAACACGGTTTGGCGTTGAGGGTTTCGGCCTTACCATAATTTGAACATGGTTTTGAGGTCCATGATACGATAAGTCTTGTAAGGCACCATAAGGAACAAGTATTATGGGTATTTATTCAGGCTATTGATTACATGCGACTCTCCGGGGCAGCATCGCTTCAAGAGGTGTAGGAACTGAGCTCCTGCCCTCAGCCTGCACCCAACGGCCGAAATTCCCGTCGGCTTGCCATTGCATGATCCCAAAACCCATGTGGCCCTACGACCTCAAACCCATCCGACAACTTGAGATCGGCTGTTAACATTGCCAACACCAATCTTTAGGGTGATGTAACTATACTACGATCCACCCCGAACCCTGTTCCTACTACATCTAACTGATTGTTTTACGAGGTGAAGAGCCAGATGAAGCACTTCGAGCCGCAGCAGATTGCCATCCTTCCTGGTTGACCGTTTGGGCGTACTTTGTCTTGCTAGAACTGGCATATACCCAGAGGGCCCAAAGACACTACGATTATGGAATTAGACCCCAAAGGACCATTCTAATCATGAATAATGTGCGGAGTGCTGCCAGGCGAACACTACATGGGCAATGGCAAAGTGTGGCTTCGTTGACGAGGCTCGGGCCGCTAAAATCTCAACACAGGAACACAAAAAGGGCTGAGGATTCAGGGCTTGAACCCTGACCCTGAACCCTAAACCCCTATAGGTCTCTTTATAGGTCCCCTCAAGGAACCTTTTAACCCGACAAGCCTATAAGCTTTCTGAGCCCGAAACCCTTAATAACCTTCGGAGCACGACCGAGCACGAATTGTGAAGCGCTTCAGAGAATCCGAGAAGAGTTGTTAGGGTTTCATTTTGGGCTTAGGGTTTAGGCGAGAAAAGAGTTCGAACATGGATCCCCCCAGAAAAGGACGCATAGTGACCTTCAGCCCCAAGCACTACAAATGTTGAAGCCCCAGCCTCAAACCCCAAAACCTTGAATGAAAAATGAACCTTAATCGCTGGAACCAAACCCCACATTTCCTAAAGCCCAAGCTACACTAATCCCCAAACCTGAAACCCCAAACGGCTTTAGATGCCAAGCCCTCATCCCCAAACCCTAGACCCTGAACCCTTGAAATTGAACCCCAAATCCCAAACCCTAAACCCTGAACGAACCTTAATCGCTCGAGCCAGCCAAGCAGCTCTTTACCTTAGGCCCTGAACCCCTCACAACACCCTCTTATAAGACCCTATAGTCTTCATTCTAAGTCCTTTTTGGAGTTACCTTGGACCTTATGGGAGCGTGCATGTGAAATTACTAAACCCTAAACTTATAAGCCAGAAGCCTGAAACCCTAAAGAACCGGAGGAACTCTTCGAGCAGGCTGCAGAGCAGTCCATCCTCCAGCTCAAGAAGTCACGCGGGCTGTGTTCAAGGGGCTGTAGGGATTAGGCGTTTAGGGTGTAATGTTAATGGTCTAGGGATGTTTAGGGTTTAGGGTTTAAGGTGTTAGGGTTCAATTTTAGTTAATGGTTTGGGTTTTAGGGTTTAGGTCTTCAAGTACGTTGTTTTAGGGTTTAAGGCTTAGGCTTAGGGTTTTGGGTTGGGGTTTTCGGTTAAGGGCTTTGGGGTGGGGATGGGGTCGTCCCAAATCGTCCTCTGCCTCAAAAGTCATGCTACGTCCGAACCACTGCTCTTAACACAGGGTTCTGTAAACTTGACCTTAGTAGCAGAGTAGCTAGCCTTTGATATTGACTTTTTTCGGGGAACACTATCCTTATTGGATTCCAAACGTTAACTTTGAAATCCGCTAGGATACCATACAAGAACAGAGGCTTATAGAACCCGTGAAAGAACCTAACCCTAAACCCTCAAAAAGGTTCCAGCCGATGAACTTCTCGATGCTCCTCTACTCCTTTGCTTTGGCCCAACAGCGCCACGAACGACTCTTTGAGGAGGCTCAATTTGTTTGCCTAGTAAGGGTTGAGTTCCCAGTGACCTACTGCGTTTCAGAGCTTCTGACTTCTAGCCGACAACTCAGGGCTCGCAAGCTACTATTTCGTAGGTTTGGGGGCTACGGTGGCTACAGGTAAAGTAAACCCCAGACACTGGAAGCCTAGCCTAGAACACCGCGATTGGGAGGGGGTAGGGAGGGGGGGGGGGTTTGAGGTTTGAGGTTTCAGACTTTGACATTTAGGGCTTCTGGGAAGGCTTCCAAGGTTACGTCTTTGATAACTGGAGTGCAGCCTTGTGGCCTGTGGCTGCCAAATCTTACAGTAAACGCTACCAAGGACGTAAACACAGAGGTTTGCGTGCTTGCCCGCTTGCTATTGATAGAGGTTTGGGTTACAGGGCTTGGAGTTGAGGATTCGGTGGTGCGGGGGTCAATTATGGAGTTATGGTCAAGTGAGGATTTCGCACCCCTGTCCTGCGCAGGTGGCGAAAAGATGTACCGTGGACGTTCTGAAGCATTCGCTGTCCGCAAGAGCCTCAAGTGACGTTTTGTCTCTGTTCAGTCGTGTCATTGGAAGCCTCAAGCCCTCAAGGCTTGCTCTAGCTTGGTTCGAGCCCCGAGAATGAAGCACGACATTCAAAGTAAATGCATCAACCGTCAGCTTCGCCAATGCGATAAGCAAACGCTACAGGCAGCGAGGTTTTCTCTCGACAAGTCCTGCTGCCTCAGCTGCACATGCTTGTACCGAACGTGACATCCCCAACCTTCAACCGACCAAGATCTTCACGAAGCTTTTGGCTCAAGTGATCCGCCCTATGTCAAGGCCACGAGAACCCTCGGTCTTCGTACCTCCCCTAAACCCGAAACCCTGAACCCTGAACCCCGAGGGAAAAACGGAAAAGTTCTGACAGTCTTCAACCCTACCAAGCAGGAGCCTCAATTCTCAGAGCCTTAATTCCAGTTTCTCGATTTAGGTCGGGTTTAGGGGTTTGGGGTGTAGGATTTAGGCTTAGGCTTTAGGGTTGAGAGGTTTAGGGTTTACGGCTTTAGGGGTTAATTCAGGTTTAGGTTTTAGGGGTTTCTGAAGACCTACTAGTAATCGCATACCTCATCAGCCACGATCAGATTTTCCTTATGACCTAACATACCACCTTAAACCCCGAACACCGAACCATACTTAGATACTACTTTGCAGGTCCTCTGACACCAAATAAACAGCAGGAGATTGTAGGATACATATCAAGAACCCTAACTAAAAGGAGCCCAGGGCTTCTGAATCAGGTTGCTACAAGGACCGTATATAAATCCTAAAACCTAGACCTGGAAACCCCTAAACCCCAAACCCGGACCCTAATCTTTGTCAAATCCCTCGGCTGGTGGGGCCGGACCAGAGCCGCCGCTTTCTGCCAGGCAGCAAGCTTCACGGTGTTGGGATGTAGGGTTTGGGGCTTTGGTGTGGGGTTTCGGCCCTTACGGTGTTTGGGTCCAGGGATTTAGTTAGGGCTCAGAGTTTAGGGCTTTGGGGCTGGAGGCATGGCAATGCAATGGCATCAAAAAACTGGAGCTCAGATAGCCAACGCGAGAACTTTAAACTGTTTGAGTCTTTCTGACCTTGCCTTACCTATAGTATCCATTGCACTTCCTTTTTTGAGTTACCTTACAGGACCCAGATGCAAAACTGGGTAAACCAAAAAAGGAGGAACTACAATGGAGACTCTAGGCATATATTTGGTGGGCCATAGGAGGTTAAGCCTTTTTCAGGGCCCGGTTATTGAAGAGCAAAAGGAGAGTTCTGCGAGGTAACCTTCGGGACCCTGCGAGTTCTGGGTGCCGAATGCAGACAGATTCCTTAGAGGTCGTATATGGTTATGCTACGTTATACAATGTTGTACAACTATACACATAGTAAGCTCCAAAGATGTCCGGTCTTTACAACTAGTTATGGGAAGGCATACAATCATCTACTCCAAAGCTTTGTTCCAGTTAAGGAGGCCCCTACATGATGCATGGATGTCCAGCCTTCAGCCCTAAACCCTAAATCCGAAACCCTAAACCCTGAACCGATTTGGTGTCGAGGAGCTGTCCTGGGTCCCGTATTGTTTAATCCTTGGCTGGGCATCAAACTGCGCTTTCAGAGCTTTTTGTTGGGGCTTTTATTCTTACTGTTACTACAATTGCCATGTCATGTGTTATTATCGTCATGGCTATAATCATCATTACTATGGCTGTTACTGTTACTAAGTTCAGCGCTACTTCTGATTGAATTCGTGCTACTATCGTCCCAAAGGGTCCAATGTGCCTATATGGTGGAACGTAGCGTTTCTATATTGGAATCCCTACATGATTTCAGAAAGTATCCCCCGCAGCAGTCAACAAAAACCCTAAACCTTAAACCCTCTCTACCTAGGACCCTTTGGGATCATTGTGGTTGAAGGGCATCAGGTGGCCGACGGTTGGAGGCTCCTGGTGATTGCAGCCACGGGGTTCTTTCAAATTAAAGGGGATCCTACTAAGGCGACCCCATTATAGAACTCTTAGTAGTTACCCTTTAAGGCTTCTAGGGTTTAGGGTGAAGTTTCTATATGGGTTCCTTTAGGCTAGCAGCAACAACAGGTTGTAGAAGAGCAATCACGCTCCACTCGCTCCTTCACGAGTGAGTTCAAAGCATTGGACATTCACAAACCCTATTCGATCCCTCTCGGATCCCGGATTATGTTGCCTTCCTGTTTTCTTTTCATTGTCTTTCTCCCTCTGTGTGTGTTTTGCTGTTTCTTGCTGTCCGGTTGTCTCTCCCTCTCCCTGAACCCTAAACCCTTAACTCTGCCTCAGGGCCAGGTTTTGATCGGCCAAGGATAGCTCGGATAGGCACTGAAGGGCCAAGCTCTGCCGCAGCCGCCCCCCAAAAGGGTTCAGGGCATAGCGCAAGCGCACGCATCGCCGTGCCACAGTTTTGCAGCCTAGCCCGTCATTTAGCCACGGCCATGGATGCAGGGCATGGACCGGACTCAGACGACTACTTCAAAGCGAATCTTAGTAGCTGAGTGAGTACACTTTACACTTTTGGGGGTAGTATTATCCCCTATAGAACTGAAAGCTTACACTTTGTTTGGGCCTATGAACTCAGCAACTAAGGAATGGTCGGGCCGAGAACTATGACGTAGAGACTCGCGTCCAGAAGCTGAACTTTCTCTCAACGAGCCGCTCTCCAAGTGCTCAGAAAGACCAGCAAGACAGCCACGACTCGCAAGTTGGGAAGGCCAAGAAGGACAAGAAGAGCAAGCAGGAGCCAGATGAGGAGGCCCACGTATTGGGCGCTTGGCTTCAGGACGAGCACGTCCTGGAACTCTTGAAACTCCACTCAGGTGGCAAGAAGAAGAAGGACAACACCGGCAACATCTACACCACGAGCCAGTCTGAAGTAACGCAGACGCAAGCAAAGGGCATGGGCAACTGCAAGACGGCCGGAGCAGAATCAGAAGCGAAGCAGCATGCTGGCCTACAAACACCTGCAGTGGCAAATCCGACTGCTTCTGCAGAAGCTGGGTTCTTGTTAATTCTTTACTATTTAAGTTACCGTAAGAGGGATCTATAGTAAATAATATGGTTGCTTTATTATGGTAACTTAAATTAAATCCCTTGACAAGAACCCAGGAAGATCAGACGAGCTCGAATACGAAAAAACGGCGGACGCTCATCTCTCTCTGAGCGGAGCTTATTTGGAGCGGGCTCAGTTCTCATGAGAGGTCTTTTCAATAGCGTTTTTGGCTCTTTTACAATGAGGAAGCCTGGGGAATAAGATTGGTAATTATTTCGGCTTCTATAGTAGTTATACTGTAAAGGGTGTGAACAGTCTGCCGGCCGTAGGAGCCGGCAACTTGTAACTTTCTGCCACATGACCGAGTGAGGCATTCACCGCGACAAAGTCGCACACTTTAGGTTGGCACTGAGGAGCGGAGATTTGTGTCGGAAGCCGACGTGTACATGTCTTAGTTTTAGCCGGTGGAAGGCGCACTCTTCCTATCCCCCTCCTGCCTTCTGCAGCAAAGCGACTGGGTTTTATGAATTTCCCAGCGTTTGCAGCTTTCCGTTTTTAAAGAGTCTACATTGGAGTAGCACTTACGCGAAAAAGTCGCAACTCAGATTGGCATGAAACTGGCGCAGAGATGTGCCGTAGGCCGACGTGTCTGGGCATAATTCTTCTTATGATGATGGCGATGGTGATGATGATGATGGGTACTGCAGTGTTCGTATTCTCATTCTTGTTGGCGTTACTGCTACTGTTATTGATAGGTTTAGGTTTGGGGGTTTGTGGTTTGGGTTTTAGGTTTTGGGCCTTGGGGTTTAGGTGTTAGGGTGTAGGGTTTAGGTTTCAGGGTTAGGGTCAAGGGTGGTACTGCTTTGCCACGATGCCTGATGCACCGTCTATTGGGACGGGAAGTTACCAGACTTCGAAATACAGAGCCCCCACACTAGCAGAAACAGGTTTTAGGTTCGATCCGAGGTTGGTTGAACTTTTGTTCATCTTGAACCTGTCAGCCAGAACTAAGCCCTAAGCCCTAACCGTAGGGCGACGTGGCGGATGGACTTCTCTGCCGCCCCGAAAGCGCTCGCATGGACGGCGACGTCCTGCCAGAGGGCAAGTCCTCGCTGCTGTCCGGGCTGCCGCTGCCAGAGGCCGGCCCTTCAGAAGGTTTAGGGTTTAGGGTTGAGGGGCCCTAACAAGAGTTTAGTGTTCAGGGGTTAGGGTGGCCCGGCCTTAATATACAGGAACTATAACAGCACCCACGTGTATCCCAGCTTTACCGCTTTCCAAGACGGGGGCTATGAGATATCCCGTCCTTGTGTTTTTTGCTTTAGCTGCTTCTATGGGTCCTTAAATGATTAGACTAGACTTCCTTTCAGGGTTGGTAATGGTGTAGTATAACGGCCCGCAAAATGCTCCGTGATATAGTTCCTTAGTTAGATGTAGATTGCAATACAGGTGCATTAGAATAGGTTGTATTTTTGTGATACTCTAAACCCTAAACCCTAAACCCAGCAGCATGCTGCCTTTGTAGATTAAGGAACCCAGAGGGATGACACTCAAGGCTTCGAGGGAAGCCAGGGTCGTTTTTGCATCGCCCCGCGTTTTCAGAGAGTCCAACCCTAGACCCTAGGCCTTAAGGTTTAGGGCTTAGGGTCTAGGGAGTTTTTGGGATTGGTTCCCTGGAAGCTCTTCACTCAACCCATGAAGCCATGATGTAGAAGCGTAAATAATTACCAATAGCATTCCTCATGGTTTCGTGTTGTAATGCTAGCATAAGTTACCCCAAAACCCTATCTGACTATAAAGGCCCCCTACATCTGATGTCTCTCAAAAGCCCGAAGATCCTGAGCTCGAATGTCATTGCAAACAATGGGAGTTGAGTTATGGATGGTGGGGCCCTCCTCAAGTTATACTTGAGCTCCACCTATGAAGGCTAAAGTTCAGAGTTCAGGGTAATTGAGGGCTTATAGGTTGAGGGCGTAGATCATGGCAGCACGGATGGGGAGAACATCGTCATGGCGACAACGCCGAGAGTGTCAACAGTGTTCAGAATGCCACCAACAAAAAGCCTCCCTGATAACCATAGTTTCTATTGCTCCGATCATGGCAGTGTGTTATGACAGTGATGATGATGATGATGATGATGATGATGATGTTTGCGATGCTGATGAAGGTACAGGTGTTAAACACAAAAGCAGTGATGCCGCTGGTGAGAACCGAAAGAAGCTTCGGGTAATGTGGAAATGGAAAGAACCCCTACACTCTAATGCCCTGATCCCTACTGTGCCATGATACCCTTAACCCTGAACCCTATATGTACTCCAATATCCTGAGCCCGAATGCCCTAATACTGACAGGTTCTCTTCCCAGAGGACAGCAGCCCCGCACTCGAGAAGCTTGAAGACCAGGTCGAGGTGTTTAGTTTTGGGGTTTAGGCCGCCTTATACACAAGGATCCTATGCATCCGTAGGGGATCTATACAGGCTTCTAAGGACTCCTTAAGAAAGGGCATAAATAGTTCATGACAAGCCAGTAAGGGATGTTTGGACTGAAGGCTTTTGGGTTTACGGCTTAAAGCTTGTGGGGTATCGAGTTCACATATGGGTTGGAAATCTTGACTTTGACGGGGTCAGGCTCAATTGTGGGGGTTCAGGGTTGAGGGATTTTCACGGTTTTGGTAGCGAGCCTTAGGCAGAGTATGGGCTCAAGGGCCTTAGGCATCAGTGGATCAGCAGGAGTTTGGCATCGGGACCCTCAAGCCTAAACCGCCGCCATCAAGCTTGATCCGAGTGGTGTGAAGCATTGAGTTTGGGGCTCTACTTTGTTCGGGCCTACACCCGAAACTCTACAGGCCCCAGTCATAAATCCTGGACACACAGCAACCCAGGTCCCGACCCAGGTCATGTCAAAAACCCTAGGCCCTAAAGCCCGAACTAAGCCATAAACCTTAAACCTTAGACAGCCCTAAGCCCGAAGCAGCCCGAAACCCTAAACCCTTAATGCCTCAAACCCTTCAGCCCTTAAGCCCTGAAGATTTAGTAATGCAGTTCCTTTGGGTTTAGAGGGTTTAGGGTTCTTAGGGTTCCTGTTATGACTACAGCTAAGCTGCCCAGTAGTACCCTTTTGCCCTTTGTCTTGCTGGGTTCCCTTATTGAAACAAGATTATCAGGGGGGCTACGGGGGAACCTAGTAATAAAGCGCTGTTCTAATGATGATGGCCATCATATGAGTGGAATTAGACCCTAAACCACAAGCCTGGGATAGCAACAGACGTCGATATGGACTGCAACGGCGTTCGCCCCTCCAAGTTCACAAGGCGTGAGTTGAAGGTGTGGCAGATGTGACAAAATCTACCTCGTTCCCAAGGACGAGAAGTCCAAGAGGCGCGTGACGAGGCAATGCCGGCGCAGGACAAGAACGACAGCCCCAAAGCGACGTTTCAAGCTTCTGCAGACTCTTCCTTGCCCTGCTACTACTGTATGTAGAAGGCCGGAGCACAGGCATCTGGAGTGCACCCCTAAGCCCTTACCCTAACGGTCCAAAGAACCTAATCATAATACTTGGGTCACGGATAGAAGTTTGGTAGGTTAGTATTCAGAAGAGTATATGACTGTTAGGTACTTGGACCCTTAGGGTTATCGTATTCCCAGAGTGCCCCTCTAGCCCCCTATAGTCTTATAGTGCTCGCAGCGCACCCCTATTGAAGTACCCTTATCGTCAGCTTGTAGGAACTCAACCCGAACCCGTTTGCTGGTCCAGAGTTCACCATAGCCCGCATTGCCACACTGCTCACCCCTGAGCCCTAAACCCTGAAATCCTACACCCAAAATCCTCAGCCCTAAGACCCCAAAAGCATACACCCTACGACGCATGAATCCTAAACCCTAGGCCCTACAACCCTGAAGCCTAGATCCTAAGCCATCCCGCGGAAGGCCTTGGTGCTGGCTCCGCTCGACCGGCCAGCACCTGAGTCGATTCATCCGGGCGTCAGGCTTCGAGTTCAGGAGGGTTCAGGGATGTAGGATTTAGGGTCAAGGGGTTAAGGGTTACAAGGGTCCAGGACTTTACGAGTTTAGGGAGGGGGTGGGGTTAAGCCCTATGACGTAGTGGTCTTGTCTTGGCAAGGGCTGGGATCCGTAGTTCCCCGAACAGTCCAAATAGCACGAAGCAGGTATCATTTGTAGACTTTCACTCCCGGGGTTTTGGGGTTTCGGAATTTAGCCTCCTAGGGTTTAGGGCCATTGGGTTTAGGGATTCTAGAGCTCCCTTCTTTTGTGTCTGCACTCTAGATCCTTTCTAATGGCTAAGCTGTCTTGATGTCAAGGCATTGTGAGAAGTAGAAGACATTAAGCCCGGGTTCGCGACTATGCGGCTGCTGAGGTCAGGTACTGAAAGGCACCCCTGTAGCTACTGTGCCCCTCCAAACTCCGACCCCCCGATAGCCCCGAACCCTCCCCAAACGTATCTAAACCCCCAGAACTCTTAGACTTCTAGTTACCCAAGCCTACGCCCTGTTCACCCTACACCTTTCAATCCTAAACTCCAGATCCCATGCTTCCCTCCTCGACGCTGGTGGCGTGGCGTCCCCTTGGTGGGAGGAGGAGCGGGAATTCGAGCGGTCAAGGTTTCGAGGCTTTTTCCCAGATCTTCCGAGAAGCTGCTGAGGGGAAATATACGAGCGTCGGCCGCGAGGCTAGCCCCCCTACACAACTCCCTGTCATCTCGACACCCATCATAATTGCAGTGTTAACGTAGTGTGATCGTATCCTTGTGGTTGCTAAGTACTGCAGCCATGAGAGAAAGATATACACAATGTCATATACATATATGTAATATTACATATTTTCATACGTAACACTGTGTACCATTTTCGTTTTGCTCCTGTTCTTGCACAGGTCTTCCTGCTGCGGGTGGGTGACACTCTGGCTTTACCCAGAGACTTGCGGCTTGGATCGGGTCCCCAAGCTCGGCCCTGCAAGTGATGCAAGTGCTGCTTTGGGGTTGAAGGGTTTAGGGTTGGGGTTTACGGTGTAGGGTTGGGGCTAAGGGTTTAGGGTTGGGATTCAGGGCTTCGGGGGAGATGTACTCTGCGGACCTTTGTACTGGGATTAGGGTGTTGGTGTACTGGGATTAGGGTGTTGGTGTATACTGTTTTCGTTAGACTATACGCATCAGTATAGGACTGAAGCTTAGACAATGCTTCGGTGTGGGTTCAGGGTTGGGATCGTTCTCTATGGCCTGGAAACGCAATGGAAGGTATTTCATATGGTTTTCAGGGAGTTGTTGGGAAATACTAGCCTGTAAACCCACCAATGCCACACTCGTTTATTCCTAGCGGTTAGTCTCATTATGGCAACTGCAAACGGGAACACAGATTTCGGATTAGAGCAGGAACAACCTACTTTTACCAAAATAATCCTTGCTCCAAGCCTTGCTCCCTCAAACCCTGAAGTCCTAGACATCTAAACCCTAGACCCGAGATCCTAGACTCAGACCTCACACCCGATTGGCAGCACTCAGGCAGTTTCCGGGACACCCCGACTGCCAGGCCATCACCGTTGAGAGACTGGGCGCAAGTGGGTGTGGGGCTGTAGCGCTTTAGGCATTAATTTAGCATTTAGCATTGTTTACAGTAGGGTTTAACTTGGCGGTTAAAGGGTAGGGGTTGGCGGTGCGAGAGTTTGGTTCCGAGTTCTCGCAATCCTGATGCTCAAGTTTCTCTGCCTTCAGTCCGAATTCCTCCAGGATTTCAACATCTTGGCTATCATGACTTTTGGTTTTCGTTGAGTTTCCTGCCCAAACTACAGAATCCTGATTACGAAAGCCCGACTTTGGGGCTGGAGTAAAAGAGGAAAGCCCCGCACCAAAGGCGCCTTGAAGCGCAAGCTCCACTGTTGGCCATGTGGCAATACTCCCAAGCCCTCGGGCATTTAACGGGTGCTGTAAGGGTTCAATAGGGTGCTTGTAACCCTCGCTAGCATTTGCGAGACCCCTGAAAGGGGACCCTTCTGAACCCTACTTATGGCTCTCTTAAAACCGGGAGCTTATTGAGAGGGTCTATATCAGGGGTCCCCCTAATCCTAAGTCCTACGACATGGGTCTAGAAGCGCTTTGAGGGTTTCATCAAGACTGTGCGGGCTTGAGCTCTAAACCCGACCAAGAGCTGTAAACTACTTAAGCCCTACCGGTGCTAACACAGAGCCAGAACGAGACTCCAGAGCCCTCGAACCTCAAGGAAGGCGCCTTCTAGGGTTCAGGGTTTCGGGCTATTCCCTGAATCTTGAACGGCTAGACCCTTAGCCTGACCCTACAGCCATGGAGCCCCTGAATCCTTCGACTCCCCAAAACTACCAAACCTCTAGGGCCCTGAGCCTAAAACCCCGAGGAGCCTAAGAACCGAAAAGAGTCGTAAAGCCATAAAGCCCCTGAAGCCAATAAGCCCCTAAACCCAAAACCCTGCCGAAGCCCTGTATAAACTTGGAAAACCCTGGAGAAAGGAAAGACTTCCGCTCCGCCTCCCGAGCGCGACTTCTGCGGCTTCTTCCCTCCTCGGCTTCGGTCGCCTGCTTTCGCGTAGCTTTCGGGGGTTTGGGGTATCAGGTATTATAGGGTGTTATGTAGGGTGTTGGGGTATTAGGTATTCGGGTGTTAGGTGTTGGGATATTAGGTGCTAGGGTGTTAGGGTGCTAGCGTGTTAGCTTAATAGGGTGTTAGGGTGCTAGCGTGTTAGCTTAATAGGGTGTTAGGGCATTAGTGGTAGGGTGTTGGGGTATCGGGATTCAGGTGCGTTCGGGCAGCCTGCAACAAACAGAAGTGTCGTAGGAAACCACTCTCCACCAGGTCATTCTCAAGGCTGCGGATGTCCGGCAGGAAGCGGCCGTCATGTCGATCCTCAGGCATTTGTGCTCTTGGGTCTTGTAGGGCGTCATAAGAGGTTGTTGCTTGAAGGGTGTTTAGGGGCTGAAACCTGCTCGGCAGTGCGTTCCCGAGGCCCAGCAAGGTTTGGTCGGCTGGTGTTGTCTGGGCTGCATCAACCCTCAACCCGTAACTTAAACTCACCCCTAAACCTGTAAACTCTACGTCCTACCTTATTTCCGAAGCCCTGATTTCGGGTTTGGGGTTGAGGTTCAGTCTTTAGGTGCCCAAGCCGAGGATCAACAACCCCAGAAGCACTGGGATGTCTAAACGAATACAAAGGGTCGGAAGAAGTAGTTAGATTCGTGTATATGTCTATCTATATATATATATATGTATATATATATATGTATGTATTTACATACGACACGACACTTCAAAACTCGATGTTGACTTATTCTAGGACCCCCATACCAAGCCCTTGTAGTGGCCCCTATTGTCTGTAGGATAGAACCTCTATGCGATACTCTATTTGCGGTCCCTGATTCTAACTATTCAAGCCCTAGACCCTTAGCTGCCTTACTCTTCAGCTTACGCGGGTACTCTTCTATCAGCCCCTACAGGCCCTCTTCAAGCTCTCTAGTCGCTTCCTAAACTCTTAAGAAGGTTGATGGTCCCTTGTGCAGGCGCATGAACCAGCTCTGGCAGCAGTGCGAAGTCCGCGTGTGTGAAGAGCTCGTTCAAACTGTGATTCCCGGCTCAATACAGAAGCCTGAGTACATTGTGCATGGTACATTTCTTAGGGTTTCTTTTTTATTTTGGTTATTTGATGCCCCCCAAAACCCAAAGCTCCTTGTGTTTGTTAAGGCCCCTGTATTACCCGAACATCTCGGTCCTCCAAGGAAATATTACATGTCTTCGAGGTAAGGTAGAGGGTTTGGGGTGTAAGGTGTAGGTGCTAGCCTCTCCAATTTCCTTTCGTTTCAGTGGTTACACAGCTATGCCCTGCAATTAAGCAGGTTATGACGGTTACACAGCTATGCCCTGCAAGCTAGCGGGTTATAACCCATGTTATGACATGTTAGATGATACTGCTACAGTATGTAGGCACTTCCATAAATCAAGGTCCCTCAGGACGAGGATATTAAGGAGAATAAAGTTGATGTAGATGTATTCGGGGCTTGGTTCGAAAATCAATGCTTGTCTCGTAATCACGATTTCACATACAGACAGCGGTGTATTCCAACTATGAAGCTCGTATAGCAGTGCCGAGGACCTATGACATCTTCTGTCTCTCTGGGAAGTTTGGTCTTGTTGAGGCATGGCCCTGGCGCTTTTCGTAGTCGTCGAGTGTTGGTAACCGTTGATTGTTTTGGGCGGTACTACAATCCGTAGTAAACTTTGCAAGGCTTAGCTTGTTGGGATACAGGACAAGTAAGTGTGCTTTGTGCAAAAGATTTCTTGATGGGCTCTATTTTGGGGTTCAGGGCTTGGGAGGGGTTATGCATTCTAATGCGGTTAGGCAGTTTAGCATTTTTTTTGCTGCGCAGGGTTTAGGATTCTATTAGGGCTTTATTGGTCAGGGTGTACAGTGTAGGACAAACATTTGGGCTTCAGCAGCTTTAGTGATTAAAGGTGTGCAGCTTTATTGAAGCTCAACGAGTTCGGGGTGGAGCGGGGTTGAGTGGCCTGGGGGGGTTGGGCCTTCGTTTTGGGTTTTGATGGTTTTGGGGAATTATATGCATGATGCATTCTTTGGGGTTGGGCTATCGAGCCCGGGAGGTGAGGATTCGCGAGTTTGGACCCACCTAAACCCCGAAAGCCCTAAACCCTAAACCGCAAGCCCAGTGGAGGGTTTCTCACGGGAAATTGATCAAAGGGCTCCAAGGGTGAGAAGAAGGTAGGTGGTGTAATCCCAAAACACGAGTCGTTATATAACAGATCCCAAAGCTTACCTACCTTCATCCCACCTTTTGAGGCCTCTCCAAATTGATTGTGGCCCTTAAAGAGCTCCTCGTTGTTGACGGTTGCCGTGGGTGAAAGGTGCTGGGAGCGCTTTGAATTCTGCGGCTTTGCGTTCTCAGGGGTTTCTCAGATACTGAGCATCTAGATACTCCTTCCACAACCGATGTGACGGCTCAGGGATAGAATCGGGGTCATCAGTGTAGGCGCCTTTATGATTAGAATAAGTTTGTCGGGTATCTTGTAGTATCGTCCTAAGGACTATACTGGGTTGCTCTTTACTACCTTGCTACAATTCTAACTTTTAGTGCCCCTAAAATAAAACAGGTTAGTCCTAAGAGTGACAATGCTATGAAGTGACTGTAAAGTTCAACCAAG